CATCTGCTTCTTTATATAATCAGGGGTAGGAGATAAATGAAAATGTTTAGTTAGCAGAATGCTTGCTAATCCAAAGTTATAATGTAGAGACTTATAAATTAGCAAATACTTCCCTTCTAGTGCACTTCATTGTGTAGATCCAAATTTTCCATACATATCACGTACTGAAAAATACAGTACCCAGGAAATGAAGCAATATCTATATTTGTTTCAAATGACTAACAAGCAAAAATAAAACTTTGACCATGATGACATGCTTTTTAGAAATCAGACATATAATAAGCCACATAGGATGTGGTCTAATAAACCCAAGAAAAGTTTCATTTCCTCTCACCAAAATGGCTAACTCCTTGTTTATGTGTCTAGCTTGGCAAATTTAGCGGAAGTCTCTTCTTCCCTGAAATTTCTAGATTGAGAGGTTAACAAGCAAGTAGCAGCAATAATGTGCCCCCTCCTGAAAATACACACATGCGCGTGTGCACACACACACCACCCCCCCCAAAAAAATGCAATAAAAACAGGCTCAACACCAGCAAAAGGGTAGGTCAACCACAAAATCAGAAGGACAGAGTGCACCATCTCGCTAATCCCCGGCCACTGATCAGGAAAAGTTTATAGAACCCCTGAAGAGGAAGGAAACAAGGAATCAGGGAAGGGTTTGGACAAAGAACTTTTTAAAAGTTTGTTTGCAAGTATTTCCGTGAAAATGGTATTGACTGAGCAATTACAGGAAGAAAAAAAAAAGAAAACTCTTTCTTCTTATCTGAATGCGGTTATATGCCATGGGTCACACCCTATTATTGTCACTATTAAACATGTTAATAGCCTCAATGTAATGACTTTGTGTGGCGAGCTTTAAAATGTACATGAATAGCTAACTAGAAAGAAATGACTCATCCCTGCCCAGGTGGATATTGACTTTCTGAGTCACATTTACTCAGCTGGTCTACCAACCTTAATTCCCTAGAGGAAGGGATCTAAAGGGTTCGAATCCGGCTGAATTACATGGAAAGAAAGAGAAGGGACAATGAATTTGAAATGTGGATGGGACAGAAAGTACAACTGTTAAGACTTATAAGAACGTAGGTATCCTGAACCAAAATTTCCTCCCAACTCCTAAGGTGGCTGAGTGAAGAAAAGGATTAAACACGTTCTCCCTGAACAAGTGGAAGATGACTGGTATCACGACTCTGAACCATGGCCAATAACCATGGCCCTTCATTACCAGCAATTTTATAGCTATCACTCTTCAGCTGTGTGATCTCAGGGATGTTGCTTTCTCTCTCTCTGGCTCAGTTACCTTAATTGCAAAATGGGAATAATCACAGCACCTCCCTCATAAGGTTGCTATCAAGGTTTGGAAAAGTTAATATAGGAGGTAGTTACAGTAATTCTTACAGTAGTTCCTGGATCACAGGAAGTCTGTGTTAAATGTCAAGGGATCTATGGAGGTACCCAGTGGAGTAGACTGGGGGAATATCCCATGACCACCCCCTTTTTTGCATCACAGAGCGGGGAAGCACCTTGCCAAAAAAGTGAGTGTTGGACTCAAACTTAGTTCTTATGACCAGTCACAGGAGCAGAGCTATTTCTATCACACCCATGCTATGGGATCAGGATTTTGGGACATCACCAAAATTCTTCCCCTGCCCCCACCCCCCCACCGAGGGAGTCTTGCTCTGTTGCCCAGGCTGGAGTGCAGTGGTGCTATCTTGGCTCACTGCAACCTCTGCCTCCCAGGTTCAAGCAATTATCCTGCCTCAGCCTCCCAAGTAACTGGAATTACAGGCATGTGCCACCACGCCTGGCTAATTTTTGTATTTTTAGTAGAGACGGGGTTCCACCATGTTGGCCAGGCTGGTCTTGAACTCCTGACACCTTGTGATCCGCCTGCCTCAGCCACCCAAAGTGCTGAGATCGCAGGTGTGACCCACCATGCCCAGCCACCACCAAAATTCTTGAAGTAGGTACTAGGAATGTTACTTGTGAATTTCCATGAAAACCTACAGGGAACACATAACTGAGCTACTCCAGCAGCGACTGGCCCATCACACGGACGCACCATCAGGGTGTGATTCCTCAAGAATCCTGCTAATTGCCTGCACCAGTCTGAGCCCACCAGCTCTCTCACCAAGCACCCCCTTTATATACAGCCCGTATGTGAACCTTTATCACTGACGGAGAAATTGAAGCACAGATCAGTCTGGTAACTTGCCCAAGGTGGCACAGCCCATTAAGTGGCATCTTTATATCTCACCTATTCACAGTTTACAGATTTAGATGACATCCTGGAAACGTGGCATTTTGGCACGTCCCTGGGAGATGCTGCTGGGTTCTGAGGACAAGGCTGAGAAATGCTCAGTCACTGGCGCCAGGGATCTAATCAGCTCCTGCGGATCTTGAGTTATAAGGAAGAAACCCAGTCTTTCTGTTTCGTTTTCCTCATACTTAAAATGGGTGCCCGGTTCCTTTATCTACCTCCTGCCGCCAACCAAAGATTAATGAGTTACCATGTGCCAGGCTCTGATGGGAGAATAGCTATATTCATGTCATCTTAACGTAAATAGCCAGAATGAACAGCTATGCTTATTAAAAGCTGAACCAACTACAGGCTACTGAAAAAAATCTTCCACCAGGCCATGGCTAATGCAGAAGAAAGGGGGCCTCCCTGCTCTATCAGACCCAGGCCAGTTAAAGGGCATGCTCCTTACACACACAGGCAGTAGCTCCAGGTAATCAAGACATAGGCATGGCCCAAGAACATGTAAGATCAGAGGCAAGCGTGCAAGACAGCAAAAGTCTGAAAGACTCCAGAAACATTTTGAGACGGAGTCTCACTCTGTTGCCCAGGCTGGAGTACAGTGGTGCAATCTCGGCTCACTGCAACCTCTGTCTCCCGGGTTCAAGCGATTCTCCTGCCTCAGCCTCCCGAGTAGCTGGGATTACAGGCGCGTGCCACTACGCCCAACTAATTTTCGTTATTTTTAGTAGAGACGAGTTTCACTGGTCTCGAACTCCCGACATGGTGATCTGCCCACCTCAGCCTTCCAAAGTGCTGGGATTACAGGTGTGAGCCACTGCACCCAGCCACATCTTCAGTTTTATGCACATTTGGCTAACAGGGAATAGTTGGACCAGAGGATTTCCACTTTAGTACATGAAGTTACTAAAGAGAATTAGGTATGTTATAATATCAAAAAGTGTTCCTAGGATTAAAAGTAGAAAGAATTTGCAAAACCTTATGAGGTATAATCCCAATTTTGTGAAACACTTTTAAGGTCTGTGCACATGAATGATTAGAAATTTGGAAACGTATCCAAATATTGAGAGATTATCAGACAGACATGGTGGCTCACACCTGTAATCCCAGCACTTTGGGAGGCCGAGGCAGGCGGATGACCTGAGGTCAGGAGTTCAAGACCAGTCTGACCAACATGGCAAAACCGCGTCTCTACTAAAAATGCAAAAATTAGCCGGGTGTGGTGGCAAACACCTGTAATCCCAGCTACTCACGAGGCAGGAGAATTTCTTGAACCTGGCAGGTGGAGGTCACAGTGAGCCAAGATCACACACTCCAGCCTGGGAGACAGAGTGAGACTCCATCTCAAAAAAAAAATTGAAAAATAAAAAAGGCCAGGTGCGGTGGCTCACACCTGTAACCCCAGCACTTTGGGAGGCCGAGACAGGCGGATCACGAGGTCAGGAGATCGAGATCATCCTGGCTAACACAGTGAAACCCCGTCTTTACCAAAAATACAAAAAATTAGCTGGGCTTGGTGGCGTGCACATGTAGTCCAGTTACTCAGGAGGCTGAGGCAGGAGAATCGCTTGAACCTGGGACGCAAAAGTTGCAGTGAGCTGAGATCGCGCCACCGCACTCCAGCCTGGGCAACAGAACGAGACTCCATCTCAAAAAAAAAAACAGAGAGATTATCAATAGGTAATAAGAATATAGGTATTTACATTTTCTTTATATATTTTTACAGTTTCTAGTTCTCTTATATGGCTATTTATCACTTCCTATGCCAGGACAAACTTTTAAAGATGATTTATTCCACGTTTTCTCTCTCCAACAGCAAGACTTACGTACATATATATCACTCCAGGTTTCTACCTGCTGGAGGCACTGCTTTCTGTTCCTGTGGCTCTAACACATAGCACAGCACCCAGTAGGTACACAATAAATGTTTTTAAAAACAGAGGCTTTATTAATCGGTTCATAAATATTCAGTTTTCTTTTTTTAAAAGCTAACATTAGTACTAAATCATTTGCTGTTTAAATCTAAGCGTTCCTTGAAAATTTTTCATCTGCATTGACTTTTGCTTTTCTCAAGATAAAAGCATGTTCTAGACGTTCTTTTTTCTTTAGGACTGCTAATTTGAAGAGAACTGCCACTCCCAAGCACTGAGCAGCGTGGGGTATTGATGTTGTACTGAATTATTTAAAGGAAATTAACAATGCTTCCTGTCCTTGGAGAGCAACACCTGCAAGTAAAGCCCTTCACGGCTGCCTCTGGGAGGTACTGTCGAGGCAAAGCAGGCATTTTCCAGCACCCTGAATTTTAAAAGAAAATCTTTACGTTCTAAATTACTAGTAACGAAGGCGAAGTTGAGGTGGTATAACTTCTCCATTGCGAACTGTGAAGAGTCCCAGGAGACATTTCCTGGGGCCAAGTTTAATGGGACAATGTTGTGTTCCTCATTTTCACGGAAGTTACGTGTGGCACTGGATCACGAGGCCTTCACTGGGAGCCAGGCATCCTGGAGTCATGGGAGCACCACCCTCCACCCTCTCCTTGTAAACAGGCGTTTTTATGGCTATGATATCCCTATCAGTGGTCAGCACACCCAGACATCATGGCACCCGAAATGACAGTGACCCGCCAAGAATTCAGGGACCGCAGTGGATGGGCCCTGCCCTAGAGAGAGGTAAACTTTGGATGGGCGGCTTCATTTCAGAGCTAACTCATCTCATACCGTCATTCTGCTCCGAGACCTACCTCAATACACCAGGGCTCCCCAACTTTTTGTAAGGAGTGGCTCCTTTTCATGTCCCTGAAGACTTGAGTGCTGACAGTGAAGTCTGAGGGGGGGTAGAAGTGCTGACAGTCATGTCCCTGAGTGCAGCAAGGGAGGGGGCTCTGCTGCCAGGAAGAAAGGGGAACAGAGTAAGGCTCGGGAGTGAGGGGGACACGTCACCAAGGCACACACAGCCCCCAGCCTTCCTTTCTACCCTAACCCACATTTCTACAGAAGCTCCAAGCAAGAGGGATTATAGTTCCCAGCGCAAATCAGAACTCTCCCATTTCCCTGCCATCCAGCTCAGGGTCTCTTCTAGGAACATCTGAAATGCAGCCTCCTCCAGGCAGCCTTCCTGTTCTGTATTCTCACCCCTACCCACCATTCTCCTAATGGGCATGGCCTCCCCTTCCTCTGAGCCTCTCAAGAATCACCTAGCTAGCGTTTTCTCTCTCAACTTACCTTACTGAATCTATTAGTTATGTGAAATTGCTGGTATTTCTGTCCCACAAAAATACAATTACATATGGTTCCACTTAATACTTCAGCTGTTTGGGGAGCTGATTTTTTTTTTTAAAAGAGATGGGGTCTTGCTATGTTGCCCGGACTGAACTTAAACTTCTGGGCAATCCTCCTGTCTCAGCCTCCCAAACAGTTAGGACTACAGGTACACACCACCACACCCAGCTAATCTTTTTATTTTTGTGTGTGTAGAGACAGAATCTTGCTATGTTGCTCAGGCTGATCTCGAACTCCTGAGCTCAGGCAATCCTTCTACTTCGGCCTCCCAAAGTGTTGAGATCTCAGGCAAGCAGCACCATGCTTGGTTGATCTGTCTTCACTCATACCTTAACAGCTTTTCCTCTGCCAGGCGACAGTCTTTTGAGAAAAGCAACTATACTACCAATCCTGGACCCCTTGAAAGATCTGGCAGCACACACCTTGGGTGCTCAAGAAATATGTGTTAATTTGAATTTCAAACCCTGTCACAATAACTACTACGGTTTACTGACAGCCTACTCTGTCTGGGGCCCTGGACAGGAGTGTGCCTCTTACTCCATTAATCCTCACACCTACTTTATGAGGTAGGTAGTATCATGCCCATTTCACAGAGGAGGAAACTGACTCAGAGACTGTAAGGAGCATGCCCAAGGTCACACAGCTAGTAAATGGCAGAGGGGTAATATAGACCAAGTCCCAGTCAACTCATGCAGGTGCCTGCTGTAGAGACCCATTGGCCTGTCTATGGCTCTACAAACAAGAGAATTTAGGGCTGTAAAAACCAACTTGGGGTCCAAGAAGGGCGACTTTGCAACCAAGAAATATTATTCTACTTTCCTTTTTTAAAAAAGAGAAATAGCTATGCCTTTTATGTTCATTGCAAAAAGTTTTATACGAGGAAAAACTCCATGAACAATTTTTTCACGTCATTTGTTCAGCATTAAGAATAAGAGATGAGGATAACACCAACATCTTGTACGTTTTTTACGTTCACTATCACAGTAGACATAGTGGGTATGGAAGACTCTGGAAAAGAGGAAATTGATAAAAATAAAGGAAAAATTTATACAACAGCAGCCACGTCTTTAGAGCAATGTACATGGTTACCACAGTACATGGTATTCCCATGGGCTCCAAGTTTATCCAGATGGATTAAAACCATCCACAGGCAAAGTGAGCTCCCAAAATGAGAGGTGGCCATTGCTGCCCCATACCTGGAGCTACTCCAGGGCCCATGCTGGCTGCAGCTGACCCTGTGTCTGGATTTTGAGAGCAACCAACTAACTGCCAGAAGCTGAGAGATCTGCCCCCAGGAAGGGAAGCTGAGCACCAGAGGAAGTACTTGGTTCTCCACCCCTGGAGGTCTAAGGTCTCCGTCTGGGAAGCAGAGCGTCCCACTCTGCATTTCTTCACAGAGCTGATTTGTAAACAGGAGCGTGAGTCATTAGGCAAGCATGAGTCCATCTGAAAGATCAGCCCAATTTTACAGCTAAGGCTATCCTATTCAGTCCAGCCACAGCAGTGACTCACCTTACTGCCTTCCACCAAAGGTGACTTGGTTAGCCCTCCAATTGTTTCTAGAAGGAACCCAGCAACATGAGGGTTTAATCCCTGTCTGCTTGCTTTATTTTCTAACACAATGCTGAGAGCAAAGAGGCAGAGTTACCAAAGTGCCCCAGAGAACGCGCTGGGAAAGAAATGAATCCGTGGTTGCCACAGACCACATGGTCTTCTTTATCTTCCACGGGCATTTCCTCATGGCCTTTATTCTTAGAGGAAACTGTACCTTATGGAAATGTTAAACACACACACAACCTCTCTGTACAGATCTAGATATTCTCCCATGCCTGGAAACCTCAGAACCAAATTTACAGTTCACGTCCAGCATTGCATCAGGGGCTACTGGCTTTGAACTTGTAGAATGAACCTTACCCCTAACCTTATTCTCCACCTTATCTTACCGGGCTACACTGCTTTCCTTTCCTGTGTGTGTGTGTGTGTGGCCGGAAGGAGGTTTATTACCCCTTCAAGACCACACTTCCCCACCCCCCCCCCAGCTGTCCTCTTTAATGTTCTTAATTATTCATTTCCAATCCTCTTAGAGAATACAAAGTCTTAATAAATGACTTCCAATTTTAGGGGGGTAGGAGATGTCTTATAAAAAGTTCAAATGTAAACTACAAAATCTTTTTATACCATGATAAAATAACTATAGTTTCTTCCCCCCCCGCCCTTTTGAGTCTTTCTTAAAAAACAAGCAAACAAAAAACTCTTCAACAAATCCTAAAGGCCAGGAAATAAACATCTGCTGAGTTTTCTGCTCAGTGTCCATTCATGATTTTTCTGGTAACAATTACTGCCAATTACTTAGGGGTCAGCCCCCTAACTCTAAAGCCATGTAGTTTAGTGGAGTGAACCCCACACCCAGCTTCAGAAGTGGGAAAATTTACACAGTACAAGCTCACTCAGACACTGCAACCCCTTCCCATAGACACAGGTTCAGAATCAAGGTCACAGACTTGTAGACAAACAGAAGATCTCTTTGGACTTGAATAAACCTCTGTGCAATAAAACCAACTGGGAGGCTAGCAGAGCCCAGAACTGGAAAGAGATGGTTCTAATACATGGCCCTCTGGATCCAGCCATGCCTGATGCCTGACCACTCTGGACTTTTCAGTTATGGATCAATACATTCATTTTGCTCAGGCCAGTCTGAATTGGGGTTGAGGAGACAGAGAAATTTTGACTGAAGCAGTCGTCACCTCAGCCAGACTGGCCTCCATAGTTGTCCATCCACGAATCAAGGGAGGATGTGGGAAAAATTGGAGGTGTTACACGATAAAAGTAAATGAAGGCCTCGTGAGTTTCATTCTCCTGACATGATGAGTGGGCTGTTACAAGGCAAAGTACTGAAGTAGGGATTTGGCGCTTCTTGAAAGAATGAAGCAGGTGGCCAGTCTCTGCAGAAAGAAGACTAGGACCTTCAGCCACCACCCCACTGCTGGAATTGCCCCGAGGGCCCTCCTTTACCTCTTCTGTCCCTGTCAACGCCACTGGCAGCACTGAGCTATTTCGTGTCATTCTGTGGTCTCCAAAATGCACCAAATCCAGAAAGTAGAGGCCACAGATGCTAACCAGCACTAAAATCTGCCTCCTGGCTTTCTCCAGAAACCCTGTCTATTTGTGACACAGGACCTCAAGAGGTGTGTTCCTCCTGTGCAAAGTGAAGTTATGAGGCTGGACCAAGTTAAGAGAGAAGGTAGACTGACAGGGCTGCTGGGTTTGAGTCTCACTGGTGGCTCAGCACCTGATGCCATTGTGTGCTAACCAGATCTGAACACAGTCACATGGATCAAGAATCAGGTGTGCCATCCATAAAGTCGTAGTAATATTTGTGTATTCCACTATCTTGCTTCTTTATGAGCTTACTGCCCCACTCCACAACTAGCTGGGTAATATTCAAAAGCTAATGCAATCGAATAGCACCTAGTAAGCCAGAAAATACTAATTGCTCTGCCAGGAAACATTTAAAAATGAACAAGTATAGAAAGAGGTGAAAAGCATTTGAAAAACAAAACCCCTAAAAATACAAAGGCCTCCAGAGATGAGAATTTTGTATGATATAGTGTCACTCAGGGCTGGGTGCAGAGGCTCACACCTATAATTCCAGCACTTTCTGAGGCCAAGGCTAGAGGACTGCTTGAGCTCAAGAGTTCAAGACTAGACTGGGCAACATAGCAAGACCTCGTCTCTACTAAAAATTTTTTTAAAAAAGAAAAAAATTAGCCAGATGTGGTGGTGCAGGCCTGTAGCTACTCAGAAGGCCAAGGTGAAAGGTTTGGTTAAGCCTGGAAGAGCAAGGCTGCTGTGAGCTTGTGCCCCTGCACTCCAGCCTGGGTGACAGAGGGAGACCTGAATAAAAAGAAAGAAAGGTGTCATTCACAGTAAAATCGGCCAACAACCATTGGCTGTTAGAAGAATCTGAACCAACCTCATGGGCAAGAAGAAAAAGGCAAGAGCTTTACTCCTCTTTGCCTCAGAAAACTCCGTTGGTAATTAATTTTATGTGTCAGGGTATTTTTGGGTTTTTTTGTTTGTTTGTTTTGTTTTGTTTTTTGAGATAGAGTCTCTCTTTGTCACCCAGGCTGGAGTGCAGGGGTGCAATCTCGGCTCACTGCAACCTCCGCCTCCTGGGTTCAAACGATTCTTGTGACTCAGCCTCCCGAGTAGCTGGGAATACAGGCGTGCACCACCACTCCCGGCTAATGTTTTATTTTTTTGGTAGAGATGGGGTTTCACCATGTTGGCCAGGCAGGTCTCCAACTCCTGGCCTCAAGTGATCTGCCAGCCTCGGTCTCCCAAAGTGCTGGGATTGCTACAGGCGTGAGCTTCCATGCCTGGCCTTATGTGTCCGTTTGACTAAGTCACAGGGTGCCCAGATATTTGGTTATACATTATTCTGGATGTTTCTCTGAAGATATTTTTGAATAAGTTTAACATTCACTGAGCAAGGCAGATGGCCCTCCTTGATATGAGCAGGCCTCAGCCAACCAGCTGAAGGCCGGAATAGAATACAAGGCCAATCTTCCTCCGAATCAGGGGGCATCCTCCTGAGTAACTACCT